CAGAAATTATCTGACATTCTGCTAAGGATTTCAGTTCACAAGCATTGTACTTTTCCCAAATACGGATACAGTGGTCTGTATTCTTTAGGGAGGTAGGCCTACAAAATGCAAATTAATTCAAAAGCAGTACAATTTTTGGAACTTGAGACTGGCCTTCAAAGCAACTCAAACAGCCGTTGGGACATCTGAAAGATATTTGCATTGAAATTTGCATCCTTACAGGGGAAAAGAGACAAGACAAACTTCCATCCTGAATGGGAACCCCTAGGGATAAAATTAGATGATCAATCATCTCAAACCTATTATGACCCCAAATGGCTGATTATCTAGTCTCAATTAAGATGTAGTACTGGGTGGCATATAATAATCCCATGTATGAATCTTTATTAATAATGTTTGTCAGTTACAAGTTTTAAAAGATACAAAGGCACAGTGGATGAGGTTGCCTTAAATCAAACCTGCTTATCACTTCAACTAGCAGAAAAAGAATTTTACCCCTCATTGATCGGAGCAGTTTTAATTAGGCAAAAGAGTAAAGAAAAACACAGTTGGTCTGCTAAGGTGGTACATGCTCTTCAGAAAAGAAAAAGAAGCATAATTTAGAGAGAGTATTATTGACCTCATAAGTTGGAAGTGAATGGGATGCTGGAGAGTCATTTAAATCTGAACAAACTGCTGGAGGACACTGAGAAAGAAATTGATTATACAAAGCTTACACACTTCACATAGAAAGTGCTTCTTAAGGTATCAAGCACCACTATCTGATATGCACTCAACCATGCTGTGCTAGGCATTTAAGAACATTTGTAACTGGCAGCAATGTCATAGGCCTAGGGGTTAAAGCCTTGGTGATAACATGTTATGGAGTCAGTTCCCTGTAGTAAAATTTGTTCTTGCCTTTTTCCTGGTAAAGAATATAGAATTACATTTAAAATACTATTACAAAGGCCTTCTATGGAGGTTTTACACTTTTCAAATTCAGGAAAGACAATCTTAACTTTCACACCATTATTTGCTTACAATGGGTAGTACAGGCAATTATAAATAGTGCATCTCTGAACTTTACGGTTCTTGATTTTCCAGCGTAAGTAAGTCTTTATCAGGGGTTTCTCTGCTAATATTGTTGTTGCTTTAACTTAATATTTTGAGAAAAACAATACCAACTATGCAGCAGCAAATATATATAGGAAAAATAGAAAAACGAAACATTTTAATTATTTTACAGACATAACCTGTGGACAATCCAGACTGTTTGCCAAATTCTCAAATCCAAAATATCTAAGGCATTTGGCAATCCTCTGATAGTCTGTTGTCTCCAGTAAATCATGCTATTTATCCAGTAGAGAACAGATTCTTCTCATTGCTTCAACAGCTATTCTTAGACCTTTCACACTTCTGCCTTGGGGAAAAAGAAAAGCCAGCTGTAATGATTGTCACATTCAATACTTTTGCTTTTAAGAATCTTTCCCCTAATGGAAGAAACTTTCAAAAATCAGAAGCCAGTGATTCTCACAGATGTCCCGATGTGTACAGAAATCAGCATATGCAATAGATGTACTTGGAAATGAAAATGCATGCGTATTCTGTCTGCAAATGTGCAGCATGCATTTTCCCCTGGTCTCCCCTATCATTCCAGACCTCCAGCCCCTATAAACCTTAGAGGCACCTGCTGATCTGGGTTAAATAGTTACTGATGTCAGCTCACCCCTAACTCTTCTCACCACTTCATTGCTAGGTGTTACTCTCCCAGTTATTCTACATTAACTGATGATATGCTAACCTTTATCTGTTAGGTGATCCAGCTTGAAAACAAAACAAAAAAGCTGCAGTAAGAAGCTGATATGTACAAGAACGGAAATTATTAGCCTGAAAAGGGTCAAACCAAAGGCTACTGCAAGCTGTTTATAATTTCATTTCATTCCCGGAGAGTGTATCAGTGGGCTCATCAAAATAGCTCAAATTGAGCAGTGTCAACAGTCCCAAACTGAATGGGTTGTGAGTCTGGGCAACCACAAAATAGCAATGCATCACCTGATGCAGTACCAGAGCCCCTGGTTGACACTGTGGAGGAAGGGTATTAGGTAGAAGAGAAGCCATTACACCCAGTGGATGCATACCTCACTCATGGACCTTTTTACACCTTATTGTTCATCATGTGAAGAACATATGTTCATCATCACTGCTATGAATTTAGTGGAAACAGAAATGAACTAAGCTATGCAAGCTTGACATAATAAAACCACCCTCAAACAGCACAATATGGGTCTATTGTGTGCCTTAGCATGTTTAAAGCATCCTTTCCTCTTCTGTTACTCAGCTGGCCCAACATAATCTGCAATATACCTATTATGAAAAACTACTTCTTACAAAACTCAGATGATGCCAAACTGATGAATTACTGTAATGCCTAGAAAACTCCTGATACAGAATATGCCTCTCCCGCAAACTAATTTCCTTGAAGAGATCTGAGCTGCACACAAAACTGTCGTTAGTATGAAAACACTGTGCCATTACAATAGAAAAAAATTATCAGGATGTTCTTCTCCAGTCTTCATACAGTTAATTCCTGCCATCCCCTCCAAAGAAACCACAAAAATATGTACAGTTACCTTTATCTAGGGATTATTCTTTCCACAGTTGAAAACAGACATTCAAACCAGACATTTCTGCAGTACATTTCACAGAATTACTCTGACATGTTTGCAGGGAATCTTTTAACTTATTTATTCCAGACCTAAAATTCTGTTTAATTTGGTTGTCAATGCAAAGCCTTTTCCATTGTTTCAGCTCTTTTTTTTCCTCTTCATCTTTCATCCTTTTCTGGTTTTCTTCAATGATTTTTTCTGCTTTTGAATTCTACTGATAAATCAAATCACATATAAAATATTTGTGAAATTCTAGTTAACAAATGCTAAATGTCTTCCATAAGTTCCATGTTCATTGCTTTACAAATTTGATTTACATTTTGCATTTTCTCTCATAAAAAGTATTTTCAAAATAAAATCATAGTCAGCACATATACCACCAGTAGTAACCTAGTCGTAATGAAACATACCCACATACAGTGAAGAAAACATGTCCAAGGACAAAGCAATATTAAGGCTTTGAGAAGCCTTTAATCTTTGTTCTGAGTAAAGGACGCATATGTACTTTATCATAACATACGAGTTGGTTAATAAACAAACACAGAAAACAGCAGTGATATTCAACTGACTACCTCAGGTATTCAGACTAAACAAAACCTTCTTTTCTATTGTATTATTCAAACTTTTTGAAACAGATTTATTTATTACTACTATCCTAAATTACTATTAGCTACTATCCAAATTATAATAAACAACCTTTGTAAAAGAATAATATTCACCACTCATTTGCTAATTAAACTGTCTAATAATAATACCTAGAACATTGATTCCCTCATATGCCTTTGCCATTCCTCTGCCCTGTCCCACTTTCTGTGTATTAGCCAAGAAACAAAATAATTGTTGTACACACATAAGTAGTGTGAATGACCCTGCTTTTAGGCCTCTGTTCCCCATAAGAAATGCTCAGAAAAGATGTGAGGACTGCAAGCTCAATAAAGGATCAGTACTGATCCTTTATTATCACTATGCATCACTAAACAAACGGCAGATTGAAGAGATTTATCATGAAGTCTTGCTAACATTTTGAACAGTATTTTTGAGGAAACGTGTGTCTGTGTATTAAATAACAATCACTCAGATGCCAGTGTACTAGGTAGAACCTAAGAACCAAAGTAAACTTATACACATACATCATATGATGAAACACTAGTCCATTCAACATACATCTGTACAATTCTAAAAGTGAAATTTTAGAAAGTCTTAGTAAACTATCATAAGGATTATGGAGTCATATTCAAGTACCCCTTTATTCCATGATGCAACATACAAGAATAACATTAAGGCTGCAAAGCCAAACGTTCAGAAATCAGATAATGACACAATGAAGTCTGCCTGCAGAAAGAAAATGAAATCACATAAGAACTGAGGACAGGAATGGATAAACGAGGTTAATTTCCTTCAGTCTTGCTCTTTCACAAGTACTATGTGATGTAAACCATATGCAGCCTCTATGAGACCTTAGCAGTGAGGCAACAGCCTGTACAAATGTGCAGTCTGCTTTCAAAGCTGTTACATTTAGGAACTTGAAAGCCTTGTGCAAGGACTGAAGTCTATACATGACAGGCATCGTTCCTACTTGACTTACAACTGACTGAAAACTAAGGTATTCGGCTAAAAACATTTCCTAAGTCATAAACTGTTACCTATCCATGTAGAATGCTGGTGAAGTATCAGAACAATTATGTCTGCTCTAATAATACGGAAATACTTAGAATAAAAGCTCTGTAATAAACTTTAAAAAAAAAAAGAGTTTCCATTAAAGTACCTTCCTCAAACCATATGAAAGTTTGATAAACACAAAAGAGAATTAGCTTCTTACCCGGATTTCTGAAATCTTTTTGGTTAAACTAATTGACTGTCAATATCTGCTCTATTTCCTCTCTCCAAGAAAATGTATTTGAAAATTCTCTGCAGTCACTTTTATTTTTGCCTTGATCCTCAAAAGATAGTAATTTTTCTTCACAGCTTTTAGCTGTGAGATTGTCTTTATAATTTGCATTTTAAAAACAAACTGCAGATGCCACGACTGTCACCTTTCAGTTTATATATGCTTATTAGACAGAGGTTTTCTATCTCCACATATTACATCTTCTGGATATCTCTAAAAAAAAATACTCTTATAAGCTTCATTAGTTAAATAATTGTATAAATGAAGTCAATGGAACTTTGAAAGCAAACTATTGTTACATGTTTTGGTAAATCATATTTACTAATTTACTTCATCAGGGTTTGAAGTCAATAGACACCAACAACCCTAAGCACAGTCTCTGCCATCCCTTCTGTGCAACTCCCAAACCTGCAAACTCGCTCTCACTCACACCAATACAAGTGCCCAGGAAAATGAAGAGAGTCAAAATGGGCTATACAGGAAACCCTCTAGGCTTCACTGCTTGCTGGAATATTACACCATCCATTCAACTTGCAGAAGAAAGGTAAGAAGAGAGTTCTTGGTCAAACATACCTAGATGTCTGCAAAGGAGAGGTGGTAACTTTTATGGGCTTTTGAGGTAGTTGACTCTGTGACTAAATACTCAAAGACAGCATGTCCCAAGAGGAAGCTTTAAATTTCAATTCCTGAGACTTACTCATAAGATTGCTTTCAATTTAGGACTTAAAACGCATACTCCAGAATAATCCTATTAAAAATAGAGATAAGAATGCTGTAATGGCTTGTTTACATAGAAATTATATATCCTCTGATCACAAAACTGTGCAATATATTCTCATACAGTAAGTACAACTACCTCCAAGTAATAAAAGTTTGGTGTTAACTAATTCCTCAACATTGTGTATTTACATATTGTAGTTGTACATGTGTAGGTATTTTTTCAAAAATATATTAATCACAATGATTACCACAATTCCATATAAAAGATATCTAATTCCTTCTCTAAAACTCTTTGTATCAACACAAACTTTCTAACTCTCCAGCCTGTTTGGATTATTTTAGGATTTGAGGGTGGCAACAAAGTGAATTAAGCAGCTTGTTGTTTGGTTTGTTTTGTTTAGAGCACCACCCTCCCTCCCTCTTGTTATGTAAAGTACAATCTAGATTTATTGGTTCTGTTGGATCCTAATTTTGCACACCAGACCTGCCTCTATTTCTGTCTGTACCACCTGTGCAACAATACAGTTAATGCTATTGCAAGTTTTTCAATAACAAATTTATTACCTAAGTTCTGTGGGTTATAGCCAGGTTTTACCCTTGCCAAAATTTCAAAGCAAATAATATATGTATTAGATTGCTTATACGGTATCTTAGAATTTCAGAGCCTTTTGTGAAAGCATCACAAAAACCTCCCATCTTTCATCTGCGGGTTCTTTGGATCCAGTCAAGTTTTGATGGCAAAGCCAGAAATTGTATTCCAAACAGTCTGAAGGTGTTGTTTCTAGTAACCCACTTGGGTGAATCATTGTTTCAGTGGCTCCCTCAGCTGTCTCACTGACAGCTTTTAACTCTCATATGCATACTTGCATCATCATTAAAGGGTGGTTGTCTTGGCTCTTCAGGCCTGCTTCCTCCCAGGTCCACATTCTTCCTCTGACTGGTTGAATATTTTGCATGATTACCTGTAACATTTCACCTTTTAAAGAGAGTTCATTAGTTCCCTGATCAATCAGTGTGACTCCCTTTTCTAGATTAATACCACCACCTTCATATAAGGACCAGAAAATCGCTGTATAAAGTACCACTGAAACTCAAATGACATCTCATTTAAAAAGTATGAAATACATGAATTTAGAATTAACTATTCCTTCTTTGATAGGGAGTATCCAATACAAGGTGCACATCTGATGCTGTAGAATTTAAAGCATATAAAAACATACCTGCAGGTAACTGCATACTTTGCCTCTTTATCTTGGTTCTAACCAAGGTATCAAACAGGACAGGAAGGGAGGTGGAGGTGTGCATATCTTATCACGTATTTTTCATGTTTGATGGTGAGTAGAACCTATCATGCTATGTCTGGAATATATTTTTACACAGCTTTTCATCACTGCCTTCTAAATGTACTCAATTTGTCTCTGCAAATTTTATCTTTTTTCTCCCCCAGAAATGATCACTGTTCAGGAAAAGGAAAAAGCTTGATCCTGCCTAAATAGAGAGCATGTTTAACAGCTTGTCTTACTTATAAATCTTGGACCTCCATTTTTCCAGTCCATCAATGCCAAAGTATCAGGACTGTACCCCCACAATGTTTAGTCATTGGCTCTGACACTCTAGAGGGAGATGCACTTCTAAGTACAAAATCAATACTCTGTCAAAATTCTAACTCTTGCTTTGACAGAACCAGTGGATTCAATTTGGGGGTTCAAGCTCTATAAATTGATTCCAAAATGAAGAAATACAAGGATTCTCAGTGCTGCCACAGAAGTTTTCATTGCCACTGAAAGAGTCCTGCTTTCTCCCAAGTTCTGAGGCTTACTTTATGTCATTCCTAAAAGCACCTATTTTTAAAAATAATTTCTTTGCTACATGATTTATCTCTAAAAGTAAGTGATTAATTTACAATGGAATAATAGGTTTCTGTTTGAATGACATTGGCACTTTAAACGTAAAACATGTGTTTGTAAAGTGGAAGTATGTAGAACACTTCACCCTGGAAGAAAAAATATATAGTTTTAGTTTTAAGCCATTAAACATGTGCTATGGTAGAATACACCACTCCCAAATTGCAACCACAGGTGGTTGTATTTTCGACCGACATTATTTGGTGCTTTGTCTGACCTCTCTTCATTTCACATCAGAAAGAGAGAAAGGAAAAATTCTATTATATTTTTACATGATATAGCCTATCATAAAACAAAAAGTAAGTTGCCATTGCTAGTCCATATGCTATTCACCACGTCTGGAATATTTCTGCCACCACCTTTTTCAGCACCTGTCTGTTGGCCAATCAGAAAAAAGCAAAAGGCCTGAAGTCTCTCCAACTCCATGGAAACTCTTTCCAAAAATACTCCCAAGCTAAGTGTCTCCCTAATAGAAGCTAGTGACTGACAAATCTCTCAGCAGTTCGTTCTATATAGCCAGCTGTGGTTTAACTTTTTTTTAAATTTAGTCCTACTGAGGTTAACAGCGGAAGTAATCAGCTGTTCAGTGTTCCTCCTTCAGCATTCATTCCTCTTTCCAGAAGTATGGATGTCACATTCTTGCACATTTGTCTTTGTTTAGCACTATGACTTCTGGCAGCAATACACAGCTGTCTACCCTTATCTTGCACCAGACGTGTTTTTAGGTGGCAGGCTGAGCCTTCCTACAGACTGCGGGAATACATTTGGCGTAATCAAAAGACAGCTTGCAATAGCTGTTAAAAAGGTAAAGTAATGTAAAGCTGTATTATGATAAAAGGAAAAAGAGAAGTAAACATTTATTTTCCTAGAGATCAGCATTTCACAGTTTGTTGAAAGAGGCACATTCCTTTTTCAAAGTTAATCCCCTTGTAACGAAAGAGGCTTTAATCTGGTATTGAACTTCAGCGCTGTCTGTGCCCGCTCAGATCAAACACATTTCACATGCTAAGAAGGAATCTGAGTACATGCCTGGCTGTGAATATAAACATGTAAAATATGCACTATAGGCTTGCAGCTAAAATTAATCTAATGGAGATCATTTTCCTTATGAAGAGGAAAGTCTAACTGAGCTGCATTGACAAAGGCTTAGTACATACAACATAAAAAGATGCCATGTGATGCTATAAAGCATTTTCTCACTGCCCAGCTCTGAGAGTTCTATGATATGCATAAGTGCAAAGAGTTTTTATTAAAAAAACATCAGATTTGTTTGAAATATTTTTCACAGAGGTATACAGGTAACAGCTAATGTGAGTGGGACCGAAGCACATACTTAAAGCAGGAGTTCCATACTATGCAAGGCATAGAGGGATGGATAGCTTTTCAGATATGGTACAGGGAGTGGTAACAAGTGTAATTAATTTACAAAATGAAAGAAATGGTAAAGAGACATGAATATGACTAACATTTACAGAATACAGGACAAAATCAACTTAGAGAAGAGTAACAGTTGAGTTAAATGAAACTAGGCAAAATTACAGCTAAGGTCTTGAATGTAGACTCCTTAGAAGGAAACTCTTAATTTTAAGAACAAGACTAGTCTTAATTCTGCTTTGCCGTTGGGACACTTAAATTAACTACCTAACACTTACAGTTTGCTTTTCTTCTTTCAAACAGTGTATGAGGTATCAGTCTGTTTAAGTTAGGATGTTATTTTGTGACACAGATTTTCCACTGGAGTGTTTTAGTTATAATTTATTTCACTTCTTTCCTTAGAAAATTATGTAGGACTACACTGAGCTAATACATTAAAAAGGGTGTTTAGATTTCTTAAATTTATCATATAATCTGAAATCTTTACATGCTAGACTATCCAATCTCAATTATATGGCCATGTGCTACACTGCCAAATTTTATCCTTGCGAGATTGCATCAGTCCTGTCTTCTGTAACTTCCACTCCTTTCCCACATTTCTTAATTCAACAGGAAATGGATTTCTTGGTTTTCTGTGCTTTAGCAACAGTGTTATAGACTTGGCTTAAATTCTTATTTGTATACATTCCCAAATGCTAGAACCTGGAGCAGCCTTTCTACTTAAACCACAGAAGACTGTCAATTCCAGTTTGTTGACACCTCGTTTCTTGTCCTTTAATACCATTACATAATATACCTTAAATATTTTAATGGAATTGGGCAGTGAAAAGGCCTTCTCTAGGCCTTCTGCCCAGATGTGAGCCTAGCCTATATAGATTTTTAAGGACTTTATTACAAAAATATCAGTAGCTGTAAATCAGCAAGTTCTCTGTTCTGAGGAGGAATTTCAGTAAGAAATGTGTCAACAGTGCAGGGCCTAACATACATGCTCGCCCCTGGCCGAAAAGTTTGATGGCACACTGCACGGCAACACGTCCTGACAGCCCAGCTTGTCCTCTGGGCCTCCGGCGCGCCACGACACCCCCCCAGTCGCCACAGCCGGACGGGGCGGCGGGCTCCAGCGGTCGCTCCCCGCCCTCTCCCTGCGACGCCTTCCCCCTCACCCGGAGGGCTTGCCGAGCTCCCTTCCCCGCCTGAGGCAGCTGCTCTCGCCGGGTCCGCCCAGGACCGCTGCACCTGCAGCAGCACCGCCCCCCAGCCGGCGGCACCCGCCCGTCTCGCCGTTCCCGCCGCTGACCCCCCTCCCGCCCTTCTCCCTCAGCGCCGTCCCCTGCCCGCCCTTCTCCCTCAGCGCCGTCCCCTGCCCGCCCTTCTCCCTCAGCGCCGTCCCCTGCCCGCCCTTCTCCCTCAGCGCCGTCCCCTGCCCGCCCTTCTCCCTCAGCGCCGTCCCCTGCCCGCCCTTCTCCCTCAGCGCCGTCCCCTGCCCGCCCTTCTCCCTCAGCGCCGTCCCCTGCCCGCCCTTCTCCCTCAGCGCCGTCCCCTGCCCGCCCTTCTCCCTCAGCGCCGTCCCCTGCCCGCCCTTCTCCCTCAGCGCCGTCCCCTGCCCGCCCTTCTCCCTCAGCGCCGTCCCCTGCCCGCCCTTCTCCCTCAGCGCCGTCCCCTGCCCGCCCTTCTCCCTCAGCGCCGTCCCCTGCCCGCCCTTCTCCCTCAGCGCCGTCCCCTGCCCGCCCTTCTCCCTCAGCGCCGTCCCCTGCCCGCCCTTCTCCCTCAGCGCCGTCCCCTGCCCGCCCTTCTCCCTCAGCGCCGTCCCCTGCCCGCCCTTCTCCCTCAGCGCCGTCCCCTGCCCGCCCTTCTCCCTCAGCGCCGTCCCCTGCCCGCCCTTCTCCCTCAGCGCCGTCCCCTGCCCGCCCTTCTCCCTCAGCGCCGTCCCCTGCCCGCCCTTCTCCCTCAGCGCCGTCCCCTGCCCGCCCTTCTCCCTCAGCGCCGTCCCCTGCCCGCCCTTCTCCCTCAGCGCCGTCCCCTGCCCGCCCTTCTCCCTCAGCGCCGTCCCCTGCCCGCCCTTCTCCCTCAGCGCCGTCCCCTGCCCGCCCTTCTCCCTCAGCGCCGTCCCCTGCCCGCCCTTCTCCCTCAGCGCCGTCCCCTGCCCGCCCTTCTCCCTCAGCGCCGTCCCCTGCCCGCCCTTCTCCCTCAGCGCCTCGCGTTGGGCCACTAAGCGCGTACGCGGGCCTGTGAGAGGAAGGGCTTAAAAAGGCGAAAGGCAGGCTTAGAAACCAGTGTGTGTAACAGCGTCGTGAACCTCGCGGGAGTTTGATGAACGCCGGGGCCTGGCAAAAAGCAAAAAGGGCTGCCCGTCTCGCACGCTCAGACGGCTGGCTGACAGCACCGCCCAGCCCAGGCCACTGCCCACGCTCAGGTAACTTGGGCAGGGACATCTTTACCCCAGGCACAGTGTTTATTGGCAAGGATCGAATAGCTTCTACGTTTCTTCACCTTTGTGCTAAATCCTGTGAGGGCACGGTGTGCTTCACAGCCCCAGATACAAAAGTATATTAATCACAGTGCACTGTGCACAGGGGTGCAAATTCCTAACAAAACTCCTGTGAGATTTTAAGGGATGTTGAAGACACCAATAAAGTGCCAACTTGTCCATGAGTTCAGTTTTTACCTGTCTGGCTAGTGATAGATTAAAAAATATGGCATCTTGAGAGAGAATAGTATTACAAGTGTTCCAGTAGTCTTGAGATCAAGGAAGCTGAATTACAGGTTTCTCAGTCTGAGGTAGGTTGCCTCAGCAAGACCTTAGATACCATAGGTCTTGGACTGAGAAGCCTTCATCTCTCCCGCAGTTTAAGAGAAGAGTATTAGTTCTTTGTGGGTTGCTCATTAGCCTTCCTTTTCATTTTATGGTTTCCTTTCCTACTCACAGCTGCGGTAATTCCGGAAAGTTGTGATGTTTTTAAGTTTATTGAACTTGTTACTTGCAGCCCCTCAGTCACTTTGTTGATGAAGTATTCTGTAAAAGAAGGGTGTGAGTTATTATTACTGTTCTTTTAACATTTTAATTTTAACAACTGTTATATTTCTTCTAGACCAAGTACCGGTACCACTGCTAGCAAAACTGAAGGTGTATGAGCTTTTCCATTGCACTTCTACAGTTTCCTCCTAGGAAAATCCTCACAGAAACTCTTCCAGAAACTTGGAAAAATGGTGTTTGAGTACCATTGACACTGCTTGACTATTTCACTGTGTTTGACACTTTCATATATGTACGACAGGTAGGTACTTCCAATGCACTCTATAAAAAACACTGATTAGCTCTAGCTATGTAACAGATTTATTTGCAAATGTATTTATAAGCAAAATTAAACATGTTTGCATCCTGAGGGAAAACAAAGCTATGTATGGCATCAAACTACAGCAAGGCAGTCACTCAGTATGTTTAAGCACAGGCAACCAGATTATTTTTTTTTAAACTTTCAGAGGTGGAAAAAAATGCCTGTTAGTGACTCAAAATAACTGGAGGATTCTGTGGCAAAGGGGTTGGTAAAGGGGGTTGTATCTGTCTCTGCTGCTTAAAATAGAAGCAGCTCTTAAAGGTTCTTACTTGAAGTTTACAGACTGGTGTTTGGAAAGGAGATTGCCTATCTACTTCTGTTTTATCCTGTTGCTATTTAGAGTAAGATACAAAATACCAGGGACCATAACAGAGGTTTTCTGCTTTCTCAGGTAAGTACACAAATTATTAGGGTTAAGAGCCATGCTTGTTATTATATTTTGGTTTTAGCCCAATTAACAATGAAAATCTCTTACACCGTGTAACATCTTCATCAGATGGAATGGAAAGCTTGTACAACCAGGATAGCTTTACAGTTTGTGACATGAGGTTTTGAATGACTCAGCCTGACTAGTATTAGAAGCTATTATTAAGGTTTCAGGAGACCACTCTAGCTATGCTCCTTCAAATCTATCGGTAATGAAAAGTATGTTCATCAGTTGAATTTGCCACAATACTGAAATAGGAGTGGAGTGAGCATATCAAACATAATATCCTTTATCCTGTTTGTATGTTATTATTAATTTTTACATTTTACATGTAAATGCTAAATTATTACATCATTGCATATTATTGCCCATGTTTATCTTTCAAAATGTCTAATTGTTCCAAAGTTGTAGTCCCTCTGGCATTTGCTTATAGTGATTTACTGCTGTCTACCACCTACCACCTTTGTAAAGGAGCATACACATTATTTTTGCAATAAAAATGGAAGGTCTTGATAAAAAATTAAGTAAGTTTCCAAAACATTCAGCATAGGTCAAAGGATATAAGCATTCCCTAAATCTTAGTAGAATGACATTGGGAAAATTTGTTCATGGCTTAATACAGCTGTATAAAACCTTACCCTAATAAGTTTGCAGGTTATGACGAGTATTTCATTAACACTTGAAGGCACTAGGAATAAATTGAACACAGATCTTTCACTTTCTGGGCAAATGTTTCTATCATGCTGCACAAAAAGTAACAGGCATACCTGATTTACACAAATCACCAGTGCAACTGTATTCGTAAAAGCTCAGTTCCTTTAAAAATTATCTCTGCAGGTGTCTCCAGGCAGATATATTTTCTTCCCAGAAGTGACAGTTTAAAGATATGATTCCAAGAACCAGGATTTCATCCACCCCCTCCCTGTAGAAAATGCTGGAGATAGCCCAAGGCAGTTTGTTGCTGTTTATATGCAGGCTATTTTTGGCTCCCATTCCAAGGTGGCTAACTCTTACACATTTAGTGGACAGGGCCTGGATTCCATGCTGTGACTGCTTAAAAATTAGGCATACAGTGGTTAATTCTTATATGACAAGCTGCTTTTTTGTGTACAGTTTTTAGCCTGGAATTTTTAGAATGACAATTCTGTTCTTATTTGACACATTGAAATTACTGTAAAATGACATGAAATAAAATCCTTTTTATTAATTTCATTACAACACGGTAAGGATCCCAAGCCATAAGAATGGGGTTTGTATACATTGCGAAGTAAGTAAGTATTCTTAATCCAACAGTGAATCTGTTGAAGCTCTGATTAGGGGACAGTAATTGCCTGTATGAAGATGCAAAGAAAGATACTGTATTAACCACCGAAATAAAATGTGTGATACCAGCACTTGGTAACACGTAAAGATGGTCTGGGACCAATAGGGAGCTATGAGTCTCTTGCGCGCTTCTGTCACAACAGTGGGTCCGCTGCACTTCCATTGTTGCCAAGGAATAAACTTTAGTAAAAAAGGCAAGGCAATATCTAGAAGACCTTGAGCTAAGAACAAGTGCCAGCCCACAAAATGAATTCAAATCAGAGAGCAGATATAATGGACGCTGGCAGAAGGGGCGGAGGTCTATAACACCTATTTGGAGCTACAATTTCTCCTATCTACTTTAGAGAATAAGCTGTGATCTGGCGGAAAAAATCCTACCCACACATTGCTTTTATTTCTGGAAATTATGTGATAAAGTCTGTAGATTAAACCAGCAGTCTTCTTGTTTACTTCTTCCTTTCACTGAGTATCAAAGGCAATGATGTGCCTGAAAAGGCACAAGTGTGCCGTTGGAGAGAAAATTTTTCTTCCCTGAGACAAAATGCTCAGAGGAGTTCTTAATGAGGTGAAAGTACTTCCTTAGCAAAGCCAGTAAGGGAGAGTTGAGTGTGTTACTCATCACACTCTACAAGGCTATTGAAACCAGAAATGCATTTTGATTGTTTCAGTGTTAATACATGTGTCGGAGTTGTGGGGTCTTTTTAAAGCATATGTGTTTTCTGGGGATTTTGTGTGTCATTTCTGAGGAAGATACTTCTTTTCTGATGATAGGATTACTTCATTTGAGAGGTGAAAATTCAGTAGGTAAATTTATTTATACAGTGTAGTATATTATTACAGATTAATAATTATCTATTACTACAAAAAGATGTACCATTTCTGCTGATAATTCTAAAAAAGTTAAGGGTCTTTTCCAACCTAAATGATTCTATGATTCTATGTTTTTTTCTTTTCCTGGAAGATTTTAAGGTACACAAGGAAGCTATTAGTTTTAAACTACTTTTAGTAGAAAAAGCCAATTATTTTATTTATTGTCATAAAAATAGTTAATTTTGTTAAAAAAAATAAAAATCTGTTACGATAAAATGCTGTAGAAAGAAATTATTTTTCAAAAATTAACTTTCACACACTGTGTTTTCTGTGACCTGTGGAGGTAGGCCCTTTAATAATGAACAAAAATCACATCCTAAAATTCCAGAATAATATTTTAAAACAGCCTAAAATACTGTGTTAAATACAACAAAAATTGCTCATTTAAATGATTAAGTTCTCTGAATTTCTGAGTAGTAAGTGCACAGAACTTTGTCCCTCTTCCAGGCCTAACGTTGCTTCTACTGGAATTCCAGATAGCGGCAGTCTGCTGAAACATGAGTTCAGTTACCAAATATAGATGAGTGGGGTAAGAATTACATAGTCACAGAGGACAGATGTAACGCACAGGCCACAGTCTTGCCGATGCTTACTGAGGACCAAGCAATCTTTAGTGAATAGCTGGAGCAACTTTAAGCCTACTTAGATAAAGAAGGAAAAAGCAACTTTACCTGCTGTTAATTATACTTGACACTCTTCATATTGGCCTGTTCATTGTAAGGTCTGTTTTATATTTTCTGCTAAATTTAGTTATTGTACTTTGGGGAGTAATTTTGCAGCATTTCAAAATTCAGAGGAAAAACATGTGCCTTTTTTGTTTTAAAAAATCTTACTAGGTACATTTCTTCCTTCTTATTATTCCTTTGACCAGATTGGCTTTGGGTCTTTTTTTTTTAAGTAATAATTTTTCATTGGACAGATTCCGCAAATTCAGGATGCTTATACTTTTCTTGAAATGAGTCCTTTGATTTTTCTGTGGTTTTCCATATGTCATTATTTGTCTCTTGAATACCTTAATTTGATTAATTATTCAAATGTTTTCTGAGATTATTGTAATCCAGTACATTTTGAATTTACTATTTACCATATTATTCCTTAGAGCATCTATATTATTTTCTGAATAAATATTTAAACAGTGTGATATTAAAATGTGTGTTTACTTGTGAGTAATTTTAAAATATATAGCAAATAGGACCCCATAAATAGTTTATATGCAATAATGCTGGAAGTATAGCTAAACACTGATCTGCATGCAACATTGTATTTTATGTTTGTGTCTTTAAATGATATAGTATATGGCTTTGCAGGTTACCTAATGAGTAATGATGATGAAAACTGTTATAAATACATTGTAGTCTAACTTGGAGAAGCTAGAAATAGTGTTCGAAATTTCTAATTATGATCTTATATGCTACTTGATAGGGTTAGCGATACTTCACCTCCAGTTCGCTGTGGTTACAAGTTGCTCTAAAAGAATAGTGGTTTTATATACTACAGTGTGGCTGAAAAAAAGTCTTTATACTGGAAGCCTCTATTCAGCTGTCTAAAGCTAGACATATAAATCCATTTTTAGGCACTAGACCTTTCTTACCAAGAAGGCTGATCAGCATTAGAAATTGCCAATAACCAGCACGTGTTTAAATTGATCGACTTTATCTAAATATCCAGCTACAGATTGATTTACCTAAAGTTAGACATTGGGCTTTGAAAATTATGACATATGTAGCCATTATATTTTTCTAATGAGTGACAAAACAGCATAAAACTGAGTATTACGAGGCGATGTGCTAATCCATAACACATTCATTTTAATCATCATGTTGGGTGGCTAGCGATAGGTGAAACTGTCCTCCGACCCATAACCCATTGAAACACCAGAGCAGCTTCGTGTTGGAAGTCAGAGAAGTTTATCTGAGTATGTAATGTATCACTTTGAGATGTGAGCAAGCTAGGAACCAGTATGAATCAGATTTAAATAAAGGTATCATTTGAAGCACAGGTATTTATGCGTTATCTAAATAGTAAACTAGCACCTTTGTTCATTTGAATACAAAGTTTTAAAAAATAACTAAGATTAAGGAGGCAGAAACTCTCCAGGTTTAACCCTTGGTTCCCTGGCATTCGTCCAGTTTATGCCTTAACAGCTGAGCCTCTAGACCAACTGTTTGCTTGGCTTC